GTTCACTGCAGCTCTATTTACAATAGCCAGGACAGGGAAGCAACCTAAGTGTACATCGACAGATGAATGGATAAAGAAGATGTGGTACATATATACAATGGAATATTACTCGCCATAAAAAGAAAAGAAATTGAGTTATTTGTAGTGAGGTGGATGGACTGAGAGTCTGTCATACAGAGTGAGGTAAGTCAGAAAGAGAAAAACAAATACCGTATGCTAACACATATATATGGAATCTAAAAAAAAAAAAAAGGTTCTGAAGAAATAGGGGCAGGACACAAATAAAAAAGCTTGAAGTATTTTTTTATTGATAAACATTTTTATTCTAATATTATAGTAATAATTCAAGTGCAGTTCTCTTTGAAAAGTCAACTCTGTTAAAACAATACTTGTTAAATATCTTTCATCAACATAGGCATATTCTTTTCAATCCCTCACAGCAGTCAGACCTATGTAGCAGAGGTAAGATTTTTTTTTTTTAAAGCCTACTACATTTTGTTATTGCTTAAAAAATCTGAATCAGTTGTCAAGGTCTCAGAAGCAGTGATTAATTGACTTTTGAAAGCTCTACCAGATACTCTGACATAAAATCATGAATCCAGACATCTGTGTCTGGCAGCGATGTGTCCACTAAATAGACCACTACTTTCTGGTCCCAAGGGTTAGTCTCTATGTAGACGTAAAGAATGGACTTGAGGACACGGGGAGGCGGAAGGGTAAGCTGGGACAAAGTGAGAGAGTGGCATGGACATATATACACTACCAAACGTAAAACAGATAGCTAGTGGGAAGCAGTTGGAGATCAGCTCGGTGTTTTCTCTAGGTGTAGAGGGGTGGGATAAGGAGAATGGGAGGGAGATGCAAGAGGGAGGGGATATGGGAATATATGTATAGCTGATTCACCTTGTTATACAGCAGAAACTAACAAAACATTGTAAAGCAATTATACTCCAATAAAGATGATTAAAAAAAATTACTATCTGGCCCTTTTACAGGAAAAGTTCTCTGATCTCTGGACTATACTCACAGTCTCTACTCTCTTACTGTCCATTCACCTTTCAACCCACTCCAATCTTTAATCCTTCCAGTGAAATTGCTTACCAAGATTACTGACCACGTCATGACATCAAACCCAAATCTTGCCCATCTGACACAGCTGGCCACTGTCCTGCAAATACTGACCTCTTTTGGCTCCCATGACAAAGTGATGGATTTCCTAGATTTCCTCCTACCTCTCAAACCTTCCTTCGAGGAAAGGTTTCTTGATACTTTAATACGCCATGGATCCTTCTGGCATCTAATGAGCCTATGGACCCTTCTCAGAATAATTTTTTAAAGATATAATATAAATTATGAAACATTACAAAAATCCCAATTCTACTGTAATGCAGTTTTCAAAATATTAAAAAATTGTGATATGTGCTTACTTATTAATGCATTGTTAATACATTAAAAAACAGGATGTAGTTGTGGGTTTAATAACTCTGTACTGTAATTCTGAAGTAGTGATAAGTATAAATGTTATTTTGAGATACCAGCAACAATCATAATTTAATATAAAAATATCTTGATTTCTACTGGTGACAAAACTACAAATATTAGTAATACTGTGGTTTGACGCCTATATTCAAAATTAAAGGAAGTGCTAAATTTCAGTTAGAGGTTAGTAAAAACAAGAAAAGTTTCTCCCAACCAAGTTCATGGACCCTGAATTTTATCAATGAATCCCTGTGGGTTCCTGGACCCCAGATTAAGAACCACTGCACTACAAGGTCTCAGCAGTTTTCATGGCTTCAGAACCAACTATATGTTGAGTACTCCTGGGCTTGTATCTCCAACCCAGAACTCTCCTCTGAGTTCAGACTGCTACATCCAACCTCCTACTGGACATCTCTACTTGGATATCTCACAGATAACTTAAACTTTACACCTTAACAGGTCAAAAAATCAGGCCTGAACTCTTGAATCTTCCCATTACCCAACCCCTTTTCAACACCACTCTCCCCATCTCAATAAATGGACCAGCAAATCCTAAGTTACTCAAGGCAGAAACTGAGGTCAATCTTGATGCCATCTTCTTTCCCAAATTATCAGTAAGTTCCATGGACTCTATCTCCAGAATACCAAATCCGTCTGCTCCTTTCCAGTCCACCATGTTCCTTCAACCTACCAGCCTCTCTCTTGACACTCCCTCCACCAGTTACCACATAGCAGCCAAAATTTAATTTTTAAAATATAAGTAAGATTAGGTCACAACCTCACTTAAAACTTTTCAATGGCTTTCTATTGCTCTCAAGATAAAATGTAAACTCCTCACTGGCCTATAAGATTCTGCGTGATTTGGCCCCGCCTGCCTCTCCAACTTCATCTGCAGTCATTCTCCCTCTTCACTTGCTACACTCCAAACACAATGATCTTTCAATCCTCAGAACACACTAAGGTCTTTCCTACCTGAGAGCTTCTGAATACACAGCTGTATCTGTTTTAAATGCTCTGCTTTATGCTTTTGGAATGACCAACTCTATGGCATCCTTCAAGTCTCAGTTTAAATCTTACCTTCTCAGACAGATGTTACTCTATTTAATTAGATAACCTTGGTTATTCCCTGTCCCAGCACTCTCTGTTGCTTCCACAGCATTTTCCGCATTTTGTGAACTGTATATTTATTTGCTTACCTGTATACTGTCTTCTCCCATAAGAAGAAAAAGGGCAGGGGCCAGTTTACTTACTACGTATTCAGGACCTACTGCAGTGTCAAGTAGATAGTAGGTATATGTAATATATATTTCTTGAATGAATACGGTCCTCACCCTCAAAGCACTTTCTATGTGGGACAACAAGACCCAGAGGGCCCTTCAGAAAATACCTGGTAGAGTGATTCCATGATTCTACTGAACTTTCTCAACTACGATTTCCCAAAAGAATTGTGCCCCTCATTCTGAGAGAACTACCTACAAGAATACTGGAAATATACAAGAATACTAATTCTACCAGCAGCAGAGTATATGAAGAGTGGGACAATAGCAAGAAACTTCTCAGGAAAATAAATTTTGTGCCCATTGCGCCTAGGAGTGAAAAACCATGAAAGCAAAGAGAGGCAGAAATATAATTATACTTCTACGAAACTTTATCAACATTGAGGCCACATAACAGGACATTATGGTATGGATGGATGCAAGATCTCTGAGGAAACAGACACTATCTCTAAACTTAACAAGAAAACAATAGCAGTCCCTTTTCTCCATTCTAAATTTACAATATGAATTCTAGGCAATCCACTCCTACACCTACTCTTCTTTAGAGTACTGGTTCTCAACTGGGTCAGTTTTGCCTCTTAAAAAGCATTAGTTTATATCTGGAGACATTTTGGGTTGTCACAACTAGGGGGTAAAGGGTTCTACTGGCATCTAGCGAGCAGAGAGACCAAAGATGCTGCTAAACACACTAAAATGCACAGAACACTCCCCACAACAAAGAATTATTCAACCCCAAATGTCATTAACACCAAAGGTGACAGACTCTGCTTTAGAGTAGCATGTGATCAAAAACTTAATATCATATAATTGATAGGCATACATCATCTCTGGAAGAACATATAAGAAACTAATAAGGGGCTTCCCTGGTGGCGCAGTGGTTGAGAGTCCGTCTGCCAATGCAGGGGACAAGGGTTCGTGCCCCCGTCCAGGAAGATCCCACATGCCGCTGAGCAGCTGGGCCTGTGAGCCATGGCCGCTGAGCCTGCGCGTCCGGAGCCTGTGCTCCGCAACTGGAGAGGCCAAAACAGTGAGAGGCCCGCGTACCGCAAAAGAAAAAAAAAAAAGAAACTAATAAGAGTGATTGTCTCTGGGGAGGGGAGCTAAAGGTTTGGGGGAAAAGAGGAGTGGTAGGGAGATTTAGTTTTTAAATATACACCCTTTTGTGCCTTCTGAATTCTGTACTACACATACATGTTACCTATTCAAAAACAATAAAAAATAACCAAAAATTAGTGTGGCTCAAGACTATGATCTCAAAAGACTACCTTCAATTTATTACACATTACCAAAAAGAAAACAAAAAGAACAGGACCTATGCTGTAGAATGAATCCTGAATTAAGAGTTAAGAAAATCCAGGTTTTGTCACTCCAAACTGTGGAACAAAGCCTATCACTAAATCCGGAGGGTGTTTCCTCCTATGCAGAATGGGAGGATGATGTGCCTTACTCAATGTACGCAGAACTGTGAAGATCAAGTGAAATAATGCAGGTGAAATACTTTACAAACTATTTAAGAGCCATACAAATACACTGTAATTATTATTATTTTAAGATCCTGGTATCATGAAAGAACAAAACTAGAAATTATAAATGAGACCCTTTAACATTATTCCCTTCCTAAATTAGACATCTTTTCCAATATCACTGGGGCTTTAGCAATTGTTCCTGTTAACTGAACTGAAATCTTTAATTTCTGCTGCAAGAGGCTAAGCAACTCAAGGGAAAGGTCTTATGACGAGCTATACAAACTGTAGGTGATCACTATTTATTTGATGATTTTTATGCTTATGATAAAGGGTAAGAAAAAACCTTTTTCCTGAGTCATTCAATTTGCTACAAAATAAGCAGAGGTGAGGAATTTGGGCTCTGTTAAACTTCAACAATAATTCTCTGATTGGCTGTCTTAATAGAGAGAGGACAGCGAAAAACATTCATCAATACAAAACATGTATAGTTTAAACACCAACTCTCTTGTCTAACAGCTGGGCCATGTGGGCACAAGCCAAAGAGCTAGGTCTCTTACTCATGAAATTACTGAGTCATGAAAATAACACTTTCAGTACTCATGTCTTTGAATGTCAAGGACAACCAATATGTAGGAGCTGCTAGCAAAAATGATTAATGATAATGATGCTGTAAAGTTCTCTAGTTTTAGCAATTCTGAGCTGAAATAAACGAGCACAAGGACAGAATGAGTGAGGCATCAGTCACCGGAAAAGAAAAAGGAAACTGGAGGCGTCTTACGTGATATACTTGTTATAGAGGATGAATGCATGTTCAATGTTGCCTTCCTCAGAGTAAATAGATGCCATTCGGATAATCTCCATTCCAGAGCGGAAGTACCGACGGGGTGGAATGTCTTCGTTTATCTCCACTGCACTACCCATTTGGGAGAGAGCCCTCACCCGGTCTTCGGGTGGGAGGCTCACATCTCCACGGTCAGACATCAGGACCAAGAAGTTCTGAAACATAAAAAAAAAAAAAAAAAAAAGATGGCATCAACACCAAGGCCCCCATTAGCCGAGCACAGCCTAGTACACTGTGTTTTTCCCACAAACCTCTACCTTACAAAGAAATTAAAAGAAACATACCACATGCTGTAGCTCATATCAAATAAGGTCTCTTTCCCACAAGAAGCCTGAGACCCTCAAGGAAGCCCACATCACAAGGACGAAAGGATTGGCAGATTCAAAAACCCATAATCCCTGCACCGTAATTAGGTGGTACAAAGAGTATAACTATAATGAGCCACTAGCGTTTCAATTCTCTCTTAATGCTAATCATTCCATGTCATTAGGTAGCCCTGCCCTTGGCATCACAAAAAGAGGGCCAGTATCTTATATTTTTTCCATTATCTCTCCTCCCAGCTACCCACTTCCATCCACCCCAGTACCTGGCAGAGTATACTCAATGAACTTTCATGATGATAACTGACTTCAAGCTGATCATTTAACCTGAGGGTAACTGACTTGAGCACACGGTTAGTTAGAGGACATGGTGTGGGAATGAATGTTCATTATCCCAACTCTGCTCATGAAACCACTATTCCAGTCAACCTACAACATCATTCACCATTTCAGGGCAAGGAATTTAGACCTAGAAAACAATTTATTCAAATCTATCTTCAAAGACTAAGTACTCTCTGAATAACAAAAGGACACAAAGGTAACTTGAAATGCAAAAAACAAACCAACAAAAAACCCTGGAAGTTTTCCCTCCTTGGGTCTCAGATTGCAGTCATTCTATAATCTTTCTTGATATTGTTGCTGTTAGAATCAGACTCCAACTTCCAATCAGATACCACTCTACGATCATTTCCAAAAAGATTCTGGTAATTGGATACATACTGAATTACAGCACATCCTAACCAGCATGCTGCAGAATATACAAGCTACAGCAGATTTTGGAATTCAAGGCTCTGTGTCAACTGGCCTCATTTTAATCTTAAACCTTACTCATTCCCAACAGAGATCTTTTGCTTCAGTCGGGATTCTTATCTGCCCAGAAATCCTGACATTTCAGTTTCATTTGTCTATCCACTGCTTTTGTTTTCCATTCCAACCCCTCCCTCAGAGATGGTCTTCTCCGGGCCAGTTCTATCTCTAGGTCACACTTCCTCCACCGACCTTCTTCTCAAACACCCTAATAGTACAAAAGTTGTGGGGACTACCAGGGATGTAGAGGTATTCCATCTCCTGTGGGAGCTTTTATAGGGGCTCAGAAAGCTACTAGCAAATCTAAAACCTCCCCAAGTTGTCTAATTACTAAACTCAGGGCCAAGCCCATCAAAGCTAACTGAAGCAGAGCAAGCTTGTTGCTCTTCAGTCCCTCTTGGTAGAGGATCTTTTGGTAGAGAATGGAACCCCCTCCCGAGGCCAGGAAGTGGTGCCCAGAGCTACAAGCTGAGCAACACTCCAGGGAGGAGATGCAGTATCCGTAAATAAGGGGGGAAGGTGGCGTAAAGAACCGAGGGGGAAAGATGAGGAGGAGGCGAAAGGAAGTAGCAGGAACGAGCGAAGGAGGCATATACAGTGGAGAGGGACCTCCTGACAACTGCGTGACGCCCCCTTCTCGAAGGCACTCAAGCCCAAGTTGTCAACACCCGGCAAAAATCAGCAAAGGTTTTCGGGTCTTTCGCGTGCGGTAGGAGGGGACGCGCTGGGCCCGGCTGGGAACCAGAGCCGTCAGGGGCCTCGCGCGCGGCAGGCCGGGCAGGGGTCGCGGGGAGGAGAAGGCTGCAGGCCCCACACTCACGGTGGCCGCTCCCCGCCAGAGTCCGACCACGCTCAGCAGCCCGGCCCCACCATACTCCCGGTACCCTTCCCCACCTGTCCCCGCGGTCGACACTCGGCGCTTCCGGAAACGTCACATCCGGCGCCCACCCCGCCCCCTCCCTCTGGTCTATCGGTTAATTCTCAAGAACTTAGGGCAAGGGGCGGAGACTGGTGGGCGGGGCTAGAGCTGCCACCTGCGGAAAAACCCACCAATGAGGAGAGAGCGGGTCGGCGGCCACATTGGTAAAACAAAACCAACGGGGAAGAAAGGGGAAACAAATAGTTAAAGAACCCAACGACCAAGCCAGCTTTTATTTTTAGGTTAGCGCGGACACAGTAAACGTCTGCGCTAACCTAAAATGTCTGCACTAACCACCGATGCATTCCACCATGTGAAAGGCTACACAAGTTGTAATACAACATCCCTTAGAAAAGCTTAGAAAGTATGGAATCAGATAAAATCTATTACATAAATCATACATTTATTGGAATTAGACTGGCAACTTTCATGTTTACCCCATGCCTTCATGTCCTTCACATTTGTGAGGTATGTTAAATGATTATGTCAGTCCTAAAAAGCTACCTTGTCCCAGTTCTCTGGAGAAAACTGTATGAGGTTTATCAGAATTGATTGGGTGTTGAACACTATCCCACCAGTCTATCAATGCCCTATATATACTACTAAGTCATTGGAAAACCAGGAGATGAGCTGTGTTTTTACTTTTATTTTTATTGCTAAATACATATCCTCGGGTCTTCTCTATGTGGAAATTTACTTTCTCTAAATTTCCATTCCCTTATTTTTTTAGAAATTACTCAAGTCTCAGCTCTTGATTTCACCTTAATTTTGTTCATTGCCACATTCAGAAACTCAATGTCCAGTTCTGTTTTAAATCTTTGTGGCCAGAGAGGTAGGTCACATTAGACTCATTGGCTGTTAGGGTCCATCCTTGTTAGTGGCAAGGTTTCCAGAGGAAGAGTATTTGGGGAGCAAGCATTCTAGTGGTTTCCACTAGTAGGATCTAAAAGTAAATTTCATTTTGTAGACTTTAGCACACCACTTTAGCCCCTCACGTTCTTTTTTGAATACTGGTTAAATCATTAATTTTTTTTTAGCATATGTTACAACAAAATTTTACCCGTAAATTTGAAAAGCATATCTTCTACAACTATTACCTTTTCAAACTGAAAGCCTTTCAAATCTTCATTAAGAAAAGACTTCATCAGCTTGTTACTAGAAATTTCTCTGTATGTTTTCATGGATTAACTGATTCTGTTCATGGGGTTACCATCACATAAGAAGCAGGTGCACATTTGTTTTAGTTTAGCAATATTAGTTCTTGGTCATCATAATATTCATTAAATGTTTTAATATTTAAAGCTGTTTCAATTTCTAGTCTGAATTTTGTTAAATATTACCTTTGAATTTGTCCCTGCTCCAATGTATAGTATTCAGCTTTATAAATTTTAAAAAATATTAGTAGACTAAAGAACAAAGTTTAATATTTAAGATTGTCTAGAAATATTATATCAATATACATTTGTTCTTGACCACTATATAATATCAATGAATTTGCTTGCTTTTGACCTCTGCAAAATTGGCAAGTACTTTTCTATTTATCTACACATACTATTTCATAAATGGGTGTGCTTAACAAGTACTAAATGCTTTAAAACTGAAATAGAAACCCGTTTGCTTTGGAGTCTGATTGTATTACCCAGTAATTGAATTGCTTTGTCCTACTGCTGTCCAGAAGAATACCCACAATTTCTTTAAACTCTAAAAATAGTTGCTATAATAAAAAAGATCTTCTGCCTCATTGTCTTATTAACTTAAAATTTTGAATCTTATGAAAGAACTACTATTTTGATTTTGAGTAGGATTTTCCTGCCAGATAGCCCCTCTATCACACCCACATAAATCCAACATTCAAAGAGGGACTGCTGATCTGAAAACCTGGCTAAACTTACCAGGGTTTCTAAATCAGGGAAAAGAAAGCTCCTTCTGAAAATTTCAGTTTGTTTATGTTACTTTCTACACAAAATTGTTGGCCTGAGATATTAGACAACTGTTTTTTGCCTAGCAAAGGACATAACACTAACTTTTTAATGTCACAATGCCAATAAAATTGTATTGAAAATGAGTGTTTAATCTCTAAGGGTCACTGTGAAAAGCAATGGGGACAAAAATATATGTATGACACATGTGTATATTATGAATGCATGGAAATTATGTTCCTTTTCAGTTGGAGTTGGAATTACCTCATGAAGAAGTTGTTCCTTGAGAAGGCTACAGTAAAACTAGTAACATTGAGGTGAATCTGAGGTTTGGGGCTCCACCTGTAGTTTGTTTTGAAGAATAGTGTCTCCTGTCACCAAGAAAAATATCTAGTTGGGAAAATGAGGTTTTGTTTTGTTTTTTAAAGATATATCATGCAAGCACAATGTTTGTTTATTTATTTATTTATTTATTGGCTGCCCTGGTCTTCGTTGTGGTGCGCAGGCTTCTCTAATTGTGATGCATCGGCTCCAGAGCATGTGGGCTCAGTAGCTGAGGCACGGGTTTAGTTGCCCCGCAGCATGTGGGATCTTAGTTCCCAGACCAGGGATCAAGCCTGTGTCCCCTGCATTGGAAGGCAGATTCTTTTTTGTTTTCATTTGGAAGGCAGATTCTTAACCAGTGGACCACCAGGGAAGTCCCAGGAAAATGAGTTTTTAATGTATGCTTGTAAAGGTTTTAAATGTGTGTGTATTATTACAATTAATGCTTAAATTTGTGCATAAGCAGTCAATTTTATTTTAGACGTATTTTCTTCCTTTGTTACCTGCTAGTTAGCTGTGAGTTATACGATTTATTCCTGATAGCTGAGAGCCTTTTGTTTTAAGTAAGAGTGCCATTCTCAAGGTTGAAAATTTCAACAAGAGTTAAATGAGAAAAGAAACTTTAGGACTATTTGAGTTGTACAGTTTGGGTTGAGGGATTTTATCATTTTATATTTGGTTTACATATTTATTTACAAAAATATTGCCATATGACCAACCACTATAACTTTGATTGCAAGATAAAGAATTGCATACTGCTGTATTTATACTCCTTGAAAAACATTCATTTATTCATTCATTTATTCAGTCAACAACTATTTATTGAGTACCTACTTTGTGCCAAACACTGTTCAAGGCACTGGGCATATATTAGCCAACAAAGCAGACAAAAAGAAACACAACCCTGCCCTCAAGGATCTTATATTCTAGCGATGGGTGAGGGAATGATGGATTACAAGCAATTATGTGATAAATAAGTAATTACATAGTATATTAGAAGATTCTAAATACCATGGGAGAAGTGGGCTCTGTAAAGGGAATCAGATTGAAGGAAAGGAGAAGTGCAGGGGGACAGTTGTAATTTCAGATAGTGTAGTCAGATAAACCCTCATTGGAAAGATTTGAGTAAAGACTTGGAGGTAACAGCAGGCAGGGAACAGCAAGTACAAAGGCCCTGAGCCAGGAGCTCTCTGATGTACTTAAGGACCAGCAAGGGCTGAGCATGATGGGAGTGGAATGAGTGACAGGGAACATAGCAATAGATCATGTACATCAGGGCTCAGCAAACTACTTGTCTTTGCAAATGAAGTTTTATTGGAACACAGCCATGCCCATTCATTTACATATTTTCTATGGCTGCTTTCATGCTACCAATGCAGAGTTGAATAGTTGAGACAAAAACAATCTGGCTCACAGAGATTAACATTTTTACTGTCTGGCTGTTTATTTGTTGACCCCCGATATAGGTAGGGCCACATAGGCCATTGCAGGGACCTTGGCTTTGACACTGAGAAAAATGAGAAGCCGTGGGAGGGTTCAAGCAGAAGAAGGACAGGATCTGACTAATGTTTTGAAAGGATCATTACAGTGGCTGTGTTGACAAATTTTAGGCAGGCAAGGGTGAGAATAGGAAAGCCAGTCAGGACTGTGGTTCACAAGGTACACTGGGGCGCCCCCCAGGACACCACATAAATTCACCAGCCTATAGCAGGATATTTAAAATTTTTGAAGGATTCACAGCAATATTTGACATCTGTTAGATACCACGTGAGCTTCTAGCTGGCAGGTAGTTCACAGTTTCAGCATTAGGTTGTGCTATATTCCTTTCAATGCTGTCATATGATTGTGAACCTGGGATTTTGGGCAGTAGTTGTAACAAAAGTCAAGTACTAATTGAAGATCAGTGTGGAGCAGGAAATGAGTCTGGCAGCACCCAATTTAATTCTAAGGTTTGAGATGTTGTACAGTGCCCAACAGTCCCCCACATTCCATTAGCAAGTAATTGTGGTTATTTCAGAGTGAAATAAAAATATTTTCCTTTTAATTCACATGTATTATTTTTCAAACATCTACCTAGTTGTTGGAGCATTGTATCATTGTGCAAATGGGGCATTTTTCCTGTGGCTGCTCTAACAAGTCACCACAACTGGTGGCTTTAAAAAGCAGAAGTTTATCAGTATTATTCACTGTACAGTACAGAAAAATAATGAAATGCTAAGCTTCAGTTCAAAATTAAATATGCTTTGATAAATACAGCATGCACTACATGATGTATGGTACAATAAAGTTAAGGTATTGTTTGTGAATCATTTTATATTTTACATTACCTAAACATTTTCAAAGTCAAAACTTGGAGTATTCTTCATATTTTTCTTGCATTAAGTTTTCCACTGCCTTTGAAAATTCACTTGTATTTCATAGTATAAATTAAACAAGGGACCATTTCAATTTCTTTTAAAAAATTTATTATGAGTTTGGAACTGCCTCTTCCTAATATTCTGTTGCATTCTTTGAGGGTGACAGAAATCTAATAAGGTACAAGTGTGGAACATAAGTGAAAATCATAAATTACAGATATACTATAAGGTATTTGTTCACACACGTTTAAGGTGACATTGAACAGAGCCATACTCTTCAAT